AGATCCCAATATCCAGCTCCGACACAGTCGCTCCAGGTGTTCCCAGTAAGCCATCACCAGTGGATTCTCATGCAAGCCAGAGAACGACCGACGCATCCACACCATGTGCCGCTGCACCAGAAATGCCAGTGCCGAACTATCTTCTTCCTCCAAGTGCTCCAGAAACTGCCACAGGTCATGTATGTGCAGTCCCGTAGACAGTCTCGCCGGCGGAGGCAGCGTGGCAAACGTCATGGCAGCACAGGCGAAGGTTAGGGGAGTTAAGGTCAGGGAAGTTAAAAGGGTTTAGGGTTCAGAATGTGTCAAGCACACCACCTTTGTTACGCACTCATTCTCCGACATTTACTTCACTGCTGTCAGCGAATTGCAGACTCCCCAGACTCCCCCAAACAAGCCGCCGTTGGACTGTGGAACCATGTGGAATATGGCGAGCCCGCGGCTTATGTTTGCAGACGTCGATGACCAAACCATACCAAACCGCCTCGCTTCTACCTGAAGCGCTCGTTTATTGACACTCACAAGGGCTCATTACAGTTCGCTGCTTGGTGTGTTAGTGCATGCTCCCTCACAGCACACCAACCACTGGTCGCCGGAGTCTGTAACAAAGTTACAAGAATTCTTCGAAAAGTGTTACGCAAAAAGTGCAAGGCGGAGCAGATGCGCATGGAAAGAGAGGCAAACCCACAGAGCGATAGGTCCGGTGGCCTCAAATTTAGCCGTCTGCAGCTCCTCGTTGTTGCTCCGGGCTAGACAGCAATAGCCTGTGCATCTCTTGACGAATCATCTTGATTGCCACCACGACTTTGCAAAATGACAGCGCGCAGTCAGCAACTGTTTTGGCAGCCTGGCCGGCCTACGAAAAATGCCGGAATATTCTTCCGAAATCGTCTGAACTGACATCTTGCAGAGATGCGAAAAGCCTGGCCTCCACTTCTGCATTTGCCTCAATGCTTCCAGCTTTCTTTCAGTCTTTGCCGAAAAGCGGGTGACTTCTACCTCGGACACACTTGCAAACTCAGGCCGGCTAGCAAAAACGGCCGCCGCTTCAATGCTGGCTGGCAGCTACGGCGGCAGTCTCTTTGCCACCACGTCCGTCCTTGATCCAGCACCGGACATTGTCGCCAGCTTTGACCCCCAGGCCACCATGCTTGGTTATGCGATCCAAGAAGAAGTGAATGTCCTTGGCTTGCCAGGAAGTGCCACCGAAAAAGCTCTGGGACGGTAAGAAATTTGGTTTGACCGGCCACGGAGACTACGCAAGACAGCATATGGCAACGTACAATAGCGTGCCAGACGACTGGCCTTCGCGCATGCCGTGAACATGGGATATGCTGCCAAAACACCGTCTTACGGTCTTCCGCCCGAATGAAGCCGTAGTGATCTTGGTCACATACACGACAACAAGTACAGCAGAAGGTGGGTCTCTTAAGGTTAAATTCAAGACGGCCGTACAATGCGGTACACATCGTGCTGTTCCCCCCTTATCATGAGCTTCAAATCGACATGAAGTCTGAGATGTCGCGAGGGTCAGTTCTTTAATTGCAAGCCCATGTGCACGACCCATGCATTGTAAGTGTGAGCATGCATCAGCAACATGCCGGCTGGTCGTGATAAGAGATTTCTTGTATTGCGTTGTATGGTACTATATTACACTACATTAGACTGGATTGTAAGCAGCTGCACTATGCTATGTTAAGTGACATTATTGTCTGTTGTGTAGTATGATACGATGTAGCCTTACAGTCTTTATGCTACATTATAGTGTATTACTGTTGTATATTATGGTGTGACATGTTATGTCCAGCTATGCATGCTATGTTATCTTATGTCGCACTGGGTTTCTTATCTACTGTTTCATATTTCATTAGTTGCACTATGCATACGGTTTAATAATAGGCTATGATGTGTTATACTTATGAGTGTTGTACTACATCATACTAAACAATACTGTACCACTTTCTGCAAAAAATATGTTATGCTATACTACACTCTCTTGTGCCGCCTAGTTTATATAAAAAACACATGCCCTGCAGTTGTACAGCCTGGCTCCTTTGTTGGAGTTTGTCCAGTCGCCCCCTCCCCCCCCCCACCCACAGTGCCAAGATGCCCTTCTCTGCCAGTCCCGCCTCCGACTTGTCTTTTCCCCCATGTTCGGATCAGGAAAGCATAGTCCCACGTCTGCTCGTTGTCTTACGTACGTTCAACGGCCAAAGAGACAGGTCAAGTGTGTTCAGTGCCATTGTCACCACAGCAGCCGCGATCATGATGTGTTCTTAGGAGCTACAGCTACTACAGGCATTGACAGTGATGCAGTCAATTGCGGCCTGGCCACCTTTCACCGCAGTGACTCTGCCCACGACCGGCTTCTCATTGCCCGCAGCGGCCATGCAAGACACACTCTACGACTCTTGAAGATTTGCTTCGCGAGAGCTTGCTGCAACTATCTCACTTCTCGAAACACATTACTGTAAGGACTCAAGACTCCCCAAAAGATCGCCGATGCTATGCTCGGGCCCAAGCTCGATCAGCTGTAGGAAGTGTCATTTTGGGCTTACCATGCTACTGTCGTAGTTCCAACGGGGACTGCGTCGTTCGGCTTTTCACCACCTCATGACATGGCGCACTGCACGTCAGCCAGGGGGCCGAAAACAGGGCTCGGGGAGAGCAGATACAACGATCGGAGTGAGCTGAGGCTTGCAAGAACTGGATACGACTCCCTTGCTCGCCACGGACAAAACTGAGACTGAGATCCTAATTCTGTATCCAGCTTCGGTTGCGGTGCATGCAAAAGAGAGATCAGCCGTGCGCGGCTTGTGGTCCCCTCCATCCGAACACGACAGACATCCTCTGTTTCTCATCCGGGGCAGGCCTTAGCCGGTGAAGCCATCTCCATCTCGCCTCCCCGGATAAAACGAGCAGTGAGCCTGGATGAAGTAGGACCTGGCTGGGCGACCTGTGTGGGTCTGTCTCTGGAACCAGCTCCATGTCGCCTCTGGCTTGGAGGGTCAAAATCATCGTGACATCCCCATTCGCCGGCAGGTCCTTGTGATATGGAAAACCAGGCCGAGTCGCCGGAGATGAAGCAAGCTCCTGCCGAAGGCCTTGCGGAGTGTAGTGGTTCAAAGTCAGGCGCCACTTGCCTTCCACAGACACCAGGGGGCTGAGAGCTGGCATCTTGGAGTAGATAAAATCTTTCGCAAACGGAGGTAAGGATTGCAACGTGCCCTTGGAGAAGTACATCAGCTCGTGCCCTTCATCTCCATACTTTGGGAAATAGGCACTGCCCGATGCCGAGCCTGGCTCAAGTTCCATCTTCAACGGGACATAGTATTCGTCGCTTGAGAGATTGTGTGCGAGAGATTTGACGCTGGCAGGTTGAGGAATGTGGGCCCTCTCTGCCTGAGCTGCATGGCAGATCTTCCGTGCAGAGGCGAAGATGTGCGCCACCTGTGTTGCTATCGCCTCCTGCTCTGAAGGTGAGATGAAGGAGTCAAGCAGTCGCAGGCCATCAGGGGCCGCCAATTTAAGGCTGGACAGAGGCCTTGCGAGCCTGGGGATGTTCATGGCGAGGCACTGGAGCAACAACGGCCACCGCGCATGCTTAGCCTACCACGGAGAAGCCGCTGAAGAAGCCAAAGAAACCAGCGCTTGTAAAGACCGGTGTTATAATCTCAAGTTGCCTGAGGTGGTGCCAACATTTCATTTCATCTCACGCAGTCTCTCGGCCTTGGTCTTAGGGAATACATCTGTAGGTCAAGGAGTGTCTGTTGCGCCTGAACGCCTGGGTCTCAGACTGTGCAAATGTGCAGGGCTACCTACAGCTCGTGAATGCTGTTCTGGTCAATGATCCGAGTCGGAGGGGCGTTCCCGGTGCACAGAGTCCTGTCACGGAGTGGCTTAGCCATCTCCTTGGGCAATGAGCTGCCTTCTTCTTGGGTTGTTACGAACCAAAATCGAAGATCTGAACAGTCTCATGTGAACACAACAAGCGGCACCTCGAGTCTTAGCTTTGCAGCTGCCCTGGCTTCAAGCAGCCAGTGTGGCTGAGGCAACGAGCTCAGGGCTCTGGACAAAACATCCAAGAGGTGTGCAGCACGGCACTCCCCTGGCCCCGTCACTCATCGCACTCGACCGCAATTCAAGTAGCACAGCCGTAACAACGGGCAAAATGATTACATAGTGGACGCGGCAGATGTCGCATCCTGGGGCATCCTCACGTGTGATATTCGATTGTGCGCATGGACCCTCTCGACTGCTTTGCATCCTGACATCAGGAACTTCACCATTGCTATGATTGCGACACTGCTGCGGTTGCGTTTTCAGAGTTATCACACATGCGGCCTCTTGTGAGAATTGAAAGGAAAAGCTCAGTTCCGTAGCCACCTCACGCCGTGTCCTTGACAAGTTGTGGTTAATCGAGACATATCGAGACCAAAGCCGGGATCCGGTGGAGCGGAGAAGACACCCACATGAGCCCACAGCGTTGGACTATCACTGCACCCCGACCGCGGCGTTGCCGCCACGGAATTCTGATTTGCCGGGGGCTCCTCAAAACATTGGCTGCAGCTGGTTCTTGAAGTCCAAGTAATTCACGCCGATAGCATTGGGAGAACAGTAGCGATGCCACCTGAGTGGCATGCCGGCTCTTCTGCAGCTTGACAGATGCGTGCACTGAGTCTCCTGCAGAAGGTCCCACTGCTCCGCAGGCGGTAGAGGCAAGCCCTGGACAGCAAAGCAGCGCCGGAGGTCGGATTGCGTAAAGCCTGACAAGGAGAGTGGCTACGGTGAGTGCAAAGCAGCAGGACCATGCAGACTTGCATGCAGGATTTAAGCCCAAGAGCTGTCTGTCCCAGGGCTGATAGCACCAAAGACGTCGTGCAGCCCACAAATCCTCAAGAAGAGGTGGCAACTAGTTCACAGTTGTTGCGGTGGACCTTTTAATTGCTCGTAGTTACGATAGTTTCTTGCCGGGGATCTCTTGAGAGAGCACAGTGGCAAGTTCTCGACGATCCAAGTCCAGCTCTTCAGCTGCCTGATTGTGGCATACTAGAAGATACTATAATATACCATAATATACTATAATATACTATAACATACCATAGTATACCATCTTATACGGCGATGGTGACAGAGTTTTAGCAGCTGACACCCTCTGCGAAGGCTTCGTGTTTTGTGCCCCTGGAGTCTGGTCTGACACATATCTGGCGGGGTGGACCTCCAGCGTGGTGCCCAAAAGGCGGTACAGACTGTGCCTCGGAAGTGGGCGAGCTCTGAGCTTGCACGCATTCCGGACTGCGCTATCCACAACTGTCTGGAGGACATTCGCTGAAACTTGCACATGCCTAGCCTAGCGGTCGTCCTCTAGCGGCCGAGGTTGTTTAATCAGGGGTCTGTCTGGCACCTGCGGCATGTAATAATTTGTTCATGACGGTCATCAGCTTCCGTTGTTGGTGGATAGTACTGAGTCTGCTCGCAGCCGAAGCGCTTCGCGCTAGAAGTTAGCGGGTAACCTGAGTTTTGCTTGCAGACTTGCCAGTCATGGTGCATTCAAAACCTGCTCGACAAGACAGCGGCACTCGGAAATACATTCTTCCGAAGAGCTAACCTCCGGCCGATCTCCTTCCACGGTGTGGCAGTGGAACTGGGTCCTGAACAGCAGATGGACTTGAAGTTCGAAGGCTGAACAAGCCGCTTCTCGAATGGTACGGGCAGTCCAACATGCTCTTATGGCCCGTCTCCTGCAAACGGGGCAGGTCACCATCGGGCAACCGGCGGCATCAGCATCACGCTGGGCTCGCGTGCCGCAGGTCGGGCAAGCTACAGATTTCCGCAGCCTGGGCAACTCAGCGCACACAGAGTCACACCACTCATCAGATCCGATGCTAGGTCTCACTCCGCGAATCTTTACTACTGTTCCAACCTTGAGGGTGCACAGGTGGGAAACTATACCCTAGCAAACACAAGCTCTTCAGCACTAGTCATCACAGGCCTTGCGCCCTTTTTGTGCAAGCAATCATTACGACGACTTTGGGCTGAGCAGGCGAAACAAAGACTCATAAGGCTGTAAGAAACGCTGCGCACGATTGCTCAAAAGTCTTGCTGTGCTCTTGTTCTCATCGAAAGCAACCAAATACTAACTATGGTAGAATGACAGGTACAGATAGGTCGGGGCTGGCTACATGTGCCAATCTTCGTCGGGGCGCAGGTACAGCACTGAGGCAGCCTCCGCATCGGTGTTGCATGCCATTACAGCCTTCCCAGCCAATGGGTACCCGCCGGACGACCCGGCAGAACGGCAGAATCCTACAACTCCTACAACCCTCCGCCTTGCACCCTTCGCCGGTGAAGGGCAACGTAAGCATTGTCGTGTCGCGCAGGTCCAAGCTCTCCGGAGGCAGCAGGGCACCTGAAGAGAGGTTTCGGAGCTGTCGGCTAAGCGTTGGGACAAAGCCTGCATCACTGTAAGAGGTCGACTAAGGCCACTCCACTCCAGAGGCTTGGCGCCTGCCGGTCAGTTCAAGAAAGAAAGAGATACAACTCGATCTGCGAAAGCAAGCTCACGATTCAAAGTCTCATCGGCCTCGCACAGCATGCTGATGAAAGACCTTGCGGCGCATATGGAGGTCATTGACGAGGCCGGTGAAGCTGGCATACTTGGCCGTGAAGCCGAAGCCTGGCTCAAAGGGTCCGGGTCAGCGTACACACACACACAGAGGAAAATACATACAGTACATGTATACCTGTATACCTGTCTGTATGTATGCGCACATCTACACCGGATACTGGTACACATGTATTCAAGTATGCCTGCAAGTGCTTCACAGACGAAGCTTGGCACAGATGTATCTGCATCCATCCATCCATCCAAACTCCACGCATGAATGCACGGGTGTGTCTACGTTCCCTCGTAATTTCTAAGTGCTCCTGCTCTCCCTCTCCAAGCGCCTGCCATGAACCGGCGGATGTCCCGAAGCGTGATGTAGCCGTTGCGCATCATGTCCTGACATGAGTACTGCACGACGCAGGAGAAGAGCCAGGTGAGGCTTTGAAAGGTCGGACATGGTGGGACTTCCAAATACATGCGACATCTTGCAAGGTCCAGCTCGTTGAAGATCTCTTCCACTGTGCAGGTGGGCGGAAGAAGTGTCTTGGCATCCTCCACCTGAGCGGATCACGACACACTGCGGCTGACTGCGGGCGGCATATGAAGACGTGCGAGATTGTTTATGATTGCTGTCTGCGCCACCATGGAGTCCAGCTTGGCTTGCCGAGCCATCACGATCAGCGTCCTTGAAGCAAAACCGTCAACTGGAATCACGAAACGGAAACCAGAATCCTAACGTTGTTCGAAGTCTGCAAATCGTTCGGTCGCGCACTGGACATTTTGCATGCAAGTGTCTGCTGCACAGCCCGCTGCTCCTTAGGCAGCAAAGGGCAGGGAAGGATTGCCTGCTGCTGTGTCTTTGAGTCGAGACGCATGCGTGTCCAGGAAGTGCAAAGAACGACGTGGCAACGGAGTTCCCAAAGATGGAGAAGCGCCAGGGGATGCAGCAGCAGAAATGCCTACAGCAGAGAAAGAACGAGAGAGGCTTGCGTGATGCTTTGTCGTCGAAAGATTTCTCGATGAAGCCATGGTCAATGTTGCCTGCAGACATCGGACGCGGAGTGCGTGGAGAATAGGGCACCTGAGCTGGTACCAGCATGGCTTTCGCGGCTTGTTGGTTGAAGGAGACTGAGGCCATTTTCTTCCGAGCTGCAGGCGATGAGACGTAGGTGTCTGCAAGACTTCTCTCGAAGGATGACAAGCCGGGGTCCTGGGTGGAAAGCTCCGAGAGATAGTGTCGACGAGCCGGGGAGGGCGATCGGGCTTTCCAGTCTTTTGACTCCCAATCTCTTGACCCGAAGTGCCGCGGCGGTCGGGAGTCCGGCTGGAGGTAGTCCGGCAAGGGTGTCACTGGGCTCATGGGGCTCAAGGGCTCCATGAAGGGACTACTGCGCCGCGTGGGTGACATAGCTCTGGGTGAAGCCGGTCGGATCCGTGAAGAGGGGCTTGGCTCAAGCAAAGGGCTCTCGAAGGAAAGGCGCGCTGGGCTGGTAGAACGGAAGATGTAGCTGTCGGTTAGCGGACTGCGCTCCATCCGCTCGGCCCAAGTGTAGTACTGAGTAGCCGTGGGAAGCGGCATGTCGATCAGTCGCCCTAGATGGTCAGCAGGAAAGAAAGCCGCATCCTTGCATTGAAACGTAGCTCCAACTTGCTATAGCTGCTAGCACCCACTCGATTTGGATCAGCGGTTAATAACAAACGCTCGTTCTGAAGGCCATCCAAGCATCCGTGGGGTTGATACGCTTCATCAAGGCATCACAAAGCATGGGCTCCAGCGGCCGAGTGTAGCCCGCGACGCCCTTGGACAACACGTGGCGCACGCCCATCGCCGACAAAAGGCCTCCCATGCCTCCCAGAACATAGCAGACGACAGTAGATCTTACAAGTTTTGGGAGTGAGAGCAGTAAGCCCTAGACCCATGTCCAGGACCCGAGCATGCCCAAACAGTATCTGGTCCAGTCGTGCTCTCCTTGTCCTTTTGTCCCTCCGTTCCCGAGCGCATCTTGTTAGCAACAGCCTTCTCTTGCTTATGCACGCTCTCTCGCTCTCGCTGTCTCTCTCACTGCCCGTCTGCTGGCTAAGCACGGGGGAAGATCGCAGCAATTGTGGTTTTCATCGACGTGCGAACCTCTTGTTCTCATGCACTCCTTGGTGGCAACAAGGCCGGCGTGCAGCAGAGACAGCGCATTCGCAAGCATCGTGCGCTGGTTCGCACGTTCCGTGCTGGCTTAATGAAGGGGACACTACGGCTCTTCTATGCATTGGCTGGGCACTCACAGCTTCAGGGCTTAGAGCTAGCGCGTCCCGCACCGTGACACGCTTGTTGGATACACATGCACAGGGCAAGTTTAGACTCGGAATCGAGCCAGCAGCAACTGTGTGACGGATGCACAACTGCAGCTTGTTGATCATCCCGAGCGCCTGCACAAAAGCCCTCTTCCATGTCTAGGAACTTCACGATGTTCACGCCGGTGATTGCCACCTGCAAACAATCAACGTCCACAGGATTGGCATTCATCTTGGGGCTCGTTCGAAAAAGGGGTCCCTTCGAAGCTTCCTCAACACTGTAACTTCTATCGAAGCTAATTAGTGAAGCTAGTGGTAGATGATGGGGACTTTCAAGCGACGAGCCCTAGTCATTAAGCCGATAACCTTCAACTGGCAGTCGAAGGAGCGAGGTATCAAGTGGCCTCTTCCCAGCTGCTCGCCCTACCTTTCGAGGCTCACTTGAAGCCTCGTAGTGCAACGGACAACCTTAAAGAGCTAGGCTCCAAGAAAGTTGCCTGGTCAGGAGCCGCTCTCCGATTTCCCTAGGCCTAAACCCTAAACCCGTAACACAGCCGGTGGGATCCAGTGCGGTGCAGGCGGCCTGTCGCAAGCGCTTCTGATGGAAGCGCAAGCGGCTCATGAAGTCCAGCTCCAAGAGAAAGAGCCTGGGGTCGAATGGACCCCACCGAAGGGGTGTCAGGGTTCAGGGTTTTAGGGTTTAGGGCTTAGGTCCCACAAGGGTTTTTTGGGCAAACTATTGAGTTCGGAGAGTCTTTGCCTAGCGGCCAGTGGGCTTCGAGTGTGAGGAGACAAGTCAAGGGGACAACTCTGCTACAAGCGTACAGTCGGTCTTTCGAGGTGCCTGACTTTCACCGAGTTGGGACAACATCAGGCGCCGAGAAGCAAGCACGTTACTTCCGTTCTTGGCGAGGAGCCCTCTGCCCCAGAAAACTTCTACCAGCGTAACATTGGATCCAACCAAGGACTCAAAGACACTCGGACTGCAAAAAAACAAGCGGACAGTCCTACAGTTGAGGGTTCCTGCACTCCTTGGTGCAAAGCTGGGCGGGGGACTGGCTCAGGCGGTATGCCACCTCGTACTTGAGCGGTCGCTCGTAGGAGAGGTATGGCAAGAAAGAGCGGGAAATCGCAAGCTCCTGCACACGTTTGTCAAAGCAAGCTCAACATTAAATGATACTCGTGCTGGCTCGAGGTGCTCGGCTTTGGAGAGTCGTCCTTCAAGTAAGCTCCAGAGCGGAAGTTCGGGGTCGTCATTCGGATAAAGTCCTGCTCAGGCAGCGGCTCTGATGCACCATCCTGGATTGGCCTACTGCGTTCCTGCCTCTGGGAAGATGTCCAGAGAACCAGTACGAAGCCTGATGGCTGATAAGACATCCTCCAGCCTATAGCCTGCCAGCAGCAAGGAACAGGGAAGCCACCACGTGCAAATATGCCATCGACTAGCGGGGTTTTGCAATATAGTATAGTCTTCGCACACGGGCACATGTCTACCCACCTGCGACTGGGTGTGGTTGCGAGGATAACCATAGATGAAGATCACTGGCACTCATCCATCCTGCTGTCAAGCAAGCTCAGGCATTGCAGCTTTGCAGCAAAGCCAGGTCCCATAAAAACCCACTATCCATGGAAGTTAAAACAGAATGGAATGGAGGATTCCAGCACATCCTAGGCCATCCCGGGGTCCTTTGACGCTATTTCCCTGGATGTCTTGGAAGCAGGCCCTGGGTTTGAAGTCCGGCAACTCACCTCAGTTCTGCAGCTCCGCACTACGAAAATGTGACCAGGTCGTGGCCTAGATTGTTTGGAACTCGCCACTTCTTCGACTGCTGCTGCTGCACCACCATCACCGCCGCCACCACCACCCAGCATGCACCAGCAAAAACGGCCCACCTTGCCCACCCTTCGCCCCCTCCCCCCCAAGCCGTGAGCTCGCAGGAAGGCCATGGTGACGAGGCGAGGATCACTGCCAGCACCAATGCGAAATGAAAAGGGGAATCGCAGCCACAGGAAAGCTGCTACTGACGACCACCGAAACAGGTAAGTAGTCCTTCCAGCGCAGGCTTCTGAGGACATGATTGTTTTTTGAAGAGTTCCGAGTTCCTCGAATGGTTTTATCTCGCCTTGCAAGCAGATGCTCAAGGGCAAGCAAACTGGACTGGCTGGGAGCCTGGCACAACTTCACCCGGGCATCCTCCGTGTCAAGCTCAGCTTCCGCCGCGGCACGTAGGAGGGCAAGCAAGGCAACCTGCCAAGTCTCCTAAAAAAAACCTGCCTCCCGGAGGCAACGAATGCGGAGGCAACGACTATATCTGGTGTTTAGACTTGTTTGACACTCCAGGTAGATTTGCATGATACCAACACTCTGCAGCAGAATGGAAAAAATTGAACCGCTGCCAGAAACTTCAGTGACCGCAGCATGCGGAGGCGCTAACTCTTCATTCATGTGTCCTTCTGATACGTAGATGTTCGAAGTTCCAAATTACAGCGTGAAAGGATGCACGACATGATAACATGCGGGCGTTTTTTGCTAGCTGCTAACCGTTTGCAGTACCGGCCGAAGCACTCACTACCGAGCTCGACGATTCAAAGCTCTGAGTGCAATTCTTTTGCGGGTGCTTGGAGTGCCTTCTCTTGAACACGGTTTTTGCATGCCATGCTGGCAGGACGGCCTTCTGCTCTGCGTCCAGCCCGGAATACCTGAGCGGCACGTCTCGGTGGCAGAGCTGAAGGCTTGTCTTTACAAAACCTTCGTCTGCTTCCCTCCGCCATGCCAGCTGTGTGAAAGCCTCTGGCCTACACAAACTGCTTCTGCCTTGCTGGACCAGTACTACCAGTTATCTTTGAGCTTGCTGAAATGTGTCCCACCTGTCCATGGCTGCACCCACCGGACGAGCAAGGGAGCTTGGCAAAGCCCGAGCCAGCTTGAAATGTCAGCTGCGAAGCAACACCTGCTCACTGTTTGACTACATGCGGGGTGAACGCCAAAGCATCAGTGAATCAGCACAGCCAGGCACGGGACTAGTGTGACCAGACCACTGCTTTTTCTTTTACGCTTGGCATCACTCAGGTCGGGGTCTTCTCCTCTGTCTTTTGCTTCCGTACTGCTTGAAGGTAACTCCATGCTGTGAAGGCAAGGATGTTCCCAGCTATTCCTAGAAGCATGACAAACTTCCACTTGCCCCCAGGGAGGGTCTCCAGACCCAGGCAGATGGAAAGTGAAATCGTCGCGGCTTTGTTGAAGTTCCCCGCAAACGCTGCGTGGCTCGCCTTGGTTGGAGAACTGCTGCGGAATGCTGCGGATGTGTCACGGGAAACTCAATCGTGCCTTCACCTGAGGATGAAAGAAGAAATGCTCTGTAGCTGCCAGAGGTGCGGAGAGTGATTGCACCACAGTGTACTGAATGAAGTTGTAGCCGGCTGAAACTATGCCTGATGCGATTACGAGGAAGATGGTGCCTGGACTGAGGACGTGAACTTTTTGGTAGACCTGCGACGGGATGGACAAGAAGCCACAACAGGCCACGAGAAACACGCAAGGCCGACAGCATCAGTACTCTTATTTCACTTTGCCTGCCTCCCAGTCCGTCAGTACGCCAAAGTTGGGCCAATCGACCGGGTGAGATGCATACAGAGAGGCCGGCAAAAGTGTCAAGGCGCATGGCAGCGCCATGTAAAAGATCCTTAGCATCTTCGCAGTGCCAGGCAATAGTGGAACGAGTGGATCTTTCAAGCCACCTGGATTCAGACCAGGCACGTGTCCAAAGGATTCAGTGGTGGGTCCAGTGTACTCCCGAATGCCGCCATCAAGATCAAGGTCATGGCCGCAGCAATGTCGCCGAGGGAGCACATCAAGACACCTAGCTTGCACCCACCTTCACCTGTGCTACAAACCCAAACCTTCCAAAACGCAATACTGGACAATACTCTCAGCCCAACTCACTGGATTATCCATTCCACATGCTACCTGGCATGGATTTCCGCAGTCAAGACTCCAAGCATCAAGTGAGGTGCCGGACCATTGCCCGAAGTTGCGCTCTCAGCCAGCGCGCTAACAGCAGCACAAGCGACCCCGGTGACCATCAAGCTGACCTCAGATGCTGGGATCAACACAATGCCTCAGTCCAAAGCACACTCACATAGCTTGGAACAAGTCGTTTCGAGTGGCATCCAGCAGCCCGACTGGGCTCGCCGTCAACAGGCCCAATTTCTGCGCCAGCTGCTGCAGCACCAGTGTAACCAGTGGAATACAGGATCGAATGACCAGGTTGAGCGACACAGGCAGCAAGGACATGCTGAAGTTGTTCAAGCCGATGTTAACGGCCACAGCTGCTGAAAAGAGGAGAACCGCAAGGGCCTCTCTCCAGCTTTTCAAAGCCCGGGGAACGTAGCGGTAGGGTGAGAAATATAAGAAGGCCATCCCCAAACCCAGGGAGAGGAAGGCCACCACCTGTTGAATGGCGGTCACCAGGAAGGCCGCCGGCATCCCACGCATGTTCATCTCCCGTGAGACGGTTTCTTCTGAGAGCACCAGCTTCATGTAGAGAGCAAAGCTCGACTGCCCCGCAAAATAAGTCGCCAGCATGCCTGCAGCGAAGCGGCGAAGCATTCTTACGACACCTCCCTGGGCCCGAGGCTGCCCTTGGCACCCGTGAAGCTGCAAACCTTCCCAGATGACAGGCCTGGCATGCGGTGTCCAGCCGCTAGAAGCATAGCTCCAAGGAGGAAAGCGCTCGTTGGAATGAATGCCTGCTCTTCCATCCTGGCAGCTGCTCACTCAAACGAAACAGTGCGCGAAACGTCGACACTTTTCCTTGCGGTGTCGTCTGCCGGGAATTTGTGTGGCCGAGGAGGAACCACGACGATGCTGGGGTCCTCTGGCCATCTCTTTGTAGCAACACAGAAAGCAGGCATCGGGCACCCGTCTCTCTTACAGACAAGCAGTGCATTGTTGTGTCCTGGTCATTGGGCGCCTTTTCCAGATCGAACTGCAGCTGCAAGAGCTGCAAGCGCACGACTGAATCCTCAAAGGCTTCAACATCTGCTGAGGACCAGGAGGAATCACCTCGAGCCCCAGAAATGAGTGCAAGCGCATGCGTGCGTGCCCACACATTGGGCTCTCGAGCCCAACCCCTAGGCTCCCAATAAAACAAATTTCACGTTCTGCCCGTTGCACCACCACCTTCTGACATCCGAGGAGCGATCAGCCCCAGCCAGGCAGAAGAGCAGTAGCACGCTTCGAGCTCGCAGCCTCTGAAAGTTGTTTTGGCTGAGGCTAGCTGCAATGCGGATCGGTGCAAAGGCAATGATGCCCATCCGGACGAGCACAACTAGACAGAAGCAGTAACACTTTGACTGGGTCCTCTCCATTTGCGGGCCCCCCTTTAGAAACTGCTGCAGTTGGGTGAGTTCACATGCCAGTGGCCGAGACTTCGGCATTCGCTCCAAACACCGGACAAGGGACTGTTGTGCAAGAGTTTCTCTGGGTCTGTCTTTGGCTGTTTCCCACATATACAAGGCAAGCAAACATGCATCTGACGAGCACCCTAGGAACGAATCGAAGACTTCCGCCACTTCGCATACCCCAAAGCATGTCGACCCTGCCAAACCCTCGTGCTCCAGTCCGCAGCTTTGTCCTTCGCCCGACAGATGTAAAATTAAAAGGCTCCTCCACAATCCGAACCCCGGCCTGGGCGAGGCCCTGCCGCGTTGTACATAATGTGCATCGGAGTCCGATAAAAGCCTTGTTAATCCTTTTTTGAAACACATAATGTAAAGCCTAAACCTGAGCCCCTGAATCAGAAGGCCGCAGCCGGCCTTAGCAGGCATCTCGCAGGCTGCGGAGCCATATACGGAGATCAAGGGCTGCAAGGGCCCTTGGGCGGCATGATGAGGGGCTTCAAGACATGCCTACAGCATGGGTTCGGTGCTAGAGCCATGCAGGGAAGGATCGACTCAGCACGCAAGATCAAAGTGCATGTGATATCATAGTGATATCAGATATCATGTCCACAGTCTTACCCGCAGCAAGCATTCAGCGAAACGGTCACTCCGGAACCCAATTTTCACGGCTGCTCCTGCATCACTGCTTGGCGAGCCGGCATTCGACCGCGAGTGCCCATATACTCCAGCACTAAACCTAAACTCACTTGATCTCTCTGGTGCTGACGACCACTAGAGTCACTAGAGCGACGGCCGAGTATCCCACCGGCTGCCTTCCGCATGAGTCTGGCACCGAAAGGAGAGCCTCGGGCGCCGAGCAGGTTGGGAAGCCTCGTCCTGACTTGCTCGGATCGTCGTCCACCCCAAGGGCGTGTCCAAGAGGTTTCGTTGGTTTCGCGGTTCCAATAGTAGATGTGACCATCAACAGTTCGGCCTTGTCGGCTGGGATCGGCTGCATCGACTGCCACCCACATCGTCTGCAGCTTTGGCAGACGTTTCGGTGGCCAGGCCGAAGGCCCGGCAAGGCCTTGCCATTGGTCCTGGTCCTCCCACCACGGCCGCTCTCGAGGGCGCGAGGTGCTCGGGAAACGCTCCTGGGCCATCCGAAGAAGACTGATGATCCTGAGCCGATGTGGGGGTGACGCAAGTCTGTGGCCACGACCACGAGGTTGCTTTTCTACGGCAGTGGCAAAGAATAAAAACCCAACGAACTGGAACCTAGAATCCCAGCAGCACCCTCGCTGCTGAAAGGCATGTTTCCAGCAGGATCTGAGACCGCAGAGAGCAGATCCCCAAAGCTGATCTCCTCACCTCCACTAAAGGACAGAGCGACCTCCGCAGGATCCAGCTTGGAGTCGTTCTTTAACTCCACTGCACGGATCGGCATCGGTGGAGCTCTGCCTTGCCGCTCAAGCTTCAAGCGGACGTGGGGAACTCGGAGGGCCCATGGACTTCTCCGGTTTGTGGCCGTCAGGAGGAAGATCTCATCCAGAGGGCCGAAGCTCAGGACGAACTCTGGCCTGAATGCAACGAAATCGTCCGCTAGAATCTACAAAAAGACGTATGCCTCAAGCCTTGTCAAGGGATGTATCCTCCGGCCCAAGCCGAGCAGCTGCCATTGTTGCAATGCTGCTGATATCTCGCAGCGCTTCCACTCCGGCTGTGCCAGCAACCGCCCTCAGCAGGCCAAGGAGAAGTCATCGACAGACGGATTCGGCATTGCTGGGGTTGCCGCTCTCGCGATCACGCTGCGGCTCCAAAAGCTCTGCGGTTACCGGGGCCGCGATACCTGTCAGGACATGTCAGGATCCTTCGGTACTCCGAGAGTTTGAGCTCCTTTCGAGCCTCGCCTCCCGCACGCCAAGTGGCCAAGAGCGCCACCAGGCTCAGCCGCGCCAACTCCCGCGAGGCGGCCTCCTGCAAGGACTCCGCTGCTCTTTTCTCTCTTGGCCCAAGACCGTGTGCTTTCATTCATGGGTCAGCTTCCGCGGTCTCCGGCATGCGCTCGGGCGGCGCGCCAGATGGCCGCCAGGGCTTCTTCCTTGGCAGGGGCACACATCCTTCATCCGACAAGAGAGGGTCCTGGGTCAGACAGGGCACGGCGGGTAGATGGGAATCAGGACGACAGCCCCGGCGAGGCTCCCTTGCCTCGGTGGGCTGCCACTTCTCTCCACTTCTGCCTTTTCCCTTTAAGTCAGACCGGGCACAGGATCACCTGACCACCGCCACCGCGCAACATCCAGGAAGCCAGCTGCGCCGAGAGCCGCGCGACAAGGCCATGTCGTCGCACGCCAAGCACATCCAATAATGCAGCCATGAGCGTTGGGCTGCCATTCGCCGAGGACTCAAAAAGCCTGGACTACGGTCTCCAACAGCTTAGGCTTTTCCGTACAGAGGCGACGACTTCTGGTGTTTGCCAGTGTTGTGAGGATGTGGGGGGCGGCGGTTGTCAAGCTCATGAGACGACCCCCGTTTTCTGCATGAAAAATGCCGCAGATGGCCATGCAAGTTAGCAGAAGCCTGCAGAGCGAAAGGGGAAGAGCAGCTCTTCCAGCAGTCAGATTGCAACCTTTACGCTGTCACCTGCTGCCAGCTTGCTGGTCTCCTGGTACGCCTGGCCTTAGGCCTTTTGGCAGAGAAACTCGGATCGAAGTTCAGAAGTACGTGTTTAACGGACTTCTGCGGCTTCCCGTCTCCAGTCCTGCCTAGCGGGGCATCTCAGCTTTCGGCCCTTTGGGATTCGGCTGCCTTTGCCCCCTCGGCTGCCTTTGCCATGCAGACACTTCTCTCCCAAAGTCACTCCCGCTTTGCATATAAGCAAAGGGTCGAATTTTCAGGGCCCTGTCGCCCGCGGCAGAAACAAGCGTGCGCAAAACCTCCCGCACTTTCCACCCCAAGTACATGGTGCATTGAAAGCCTGCAGCCCCGATGACATGAAGGAAGATTCCCTGTAACAGAGAACTGGGGACTCCGGGACTTGCCCGGAGATCTCTGTCTAACTTATTGCTCTCGGCTTTCCTGCACCGTGGCCTGAACCTGCTTTGGATTCGAAAGCCTCTGACAAACACTTCGTTTTGAATCTGATCGAGCTGAGACCCCCATCCCCTTGGTCAAGAGTCAGCTTGCACAGAGACCGCTGGATGCTTGCACAGGAAGAACACTTCAAAACTTATTCTAACATAAATAAGACCGTGGCCTCACGAATCTCAGTCTCACGGCATCGATCATGAAGAGTCGGTAGTGCAGTGGTTGCCCTTATGTGCTTCGCACGTTGGGTCCGTTGGAGCACTTGTCCGAAGCATATTTCTTGCATCTCACTGAGCACAAGCCTTACCATGGTGAAGGCAGCACCTGAGATCTGACTCCATGCACGGAACTGGCACTTCTCGTTGGAACTAGTGACAAACCCTGCCAGGCCTGAAAATCCTGAAAGTCCCTGTTGCTGCTCTGCCTGCTGATGGCGCAGATTTGCCCGATCAATCCCCGGGCTTCCTGACTTATCAGCACGCGCCTTGTCAGGTTCAATGGGACACTAGAACAAAACAAATATAATAAGTCAACCGCTTCTGACTGCCCTGTGGTGCAGCAAAAAATATTCTGAAACGTGCTTGCAAAGAACCACTCTCTCTGCTCGCTGATCCACGAGCTCTCGGATGTGCTACCTAAGTCATCGGGCTCAAAACAGACAGCGAACACCACGCGCCCCGCCACCACACGCCCGGCCCGAGTCTTCCTGACCGGAAGTGTCCAAAGCCGAGAAGCAGTCATACTGCTGCGTGTTCTGTGAGGGACACGCGCGTGAGTGATGCTCGCCTGCCGTGCAGCATGAGGCAGGACAGGCTTATGCTCACAGCGCGCAGAACGACAGTCGCCAGATCCCAGCTCAGCTTCACGCAGCACCAAGACTGCTTGTTGGCCGGCCACTCGGGCCAATTGGCATAGCCTTCGGACAAAAAATGAAGTAGAGGTTGCCTACGACAATACAGAACCGAATCACTGCGTATGCGATGCGAAGCCTGTAGCCACCTGAAACCCTGCTGCACGCCTTGAGTGCAGTCGAACATCTGCCCCTCCAGGGGCATCTGAGTAGTGCAGCCGAGGCCAGAGGCCGTGCAGCAATACGCTCTCTTGTCCTTGCGATCCAGCATGTCCCACATTGTCCCACTGGCTGAGGGCATTTCCTTCTGTCCTGTGCCCAGGCACTTGCATCGCCTTCGTTGCCTCGGCTCGAAACGGTAGCCAAACGTCGAAGGAATTTATGTACCGGCATCCTCGTGGTAGATTTTAATGGACAGCCCCAGCAGCACCGTCTGTGAGTCTAGGATGCCTGCTTCCGTTGACAGCATGTATTTCGATGGAAGCTCTCAGGAACTTTAAAGGTCCGTGTATACCATTATCATTGGAAAGAAAGACTGTCATCGTTCGATTCTCGCTTCCGTCGCCAGGATGCAGTGGAAACCGCTGTCCTTCTTGCAGTGAACCAGCCAGAGTACAGAAACTGAAGGAACGGAAGAAACGAACCAGATTCGCACATGACGTACCAATCTACAGCAACTATACCACAAGAGGCGACGTGACCAGATCTGCAACTGGCATGGAAGCAGTCTCCTTGATGCAGCCAGTCTGATGGTGCTCGCAGCACCTGGAAGACCGGAAGGCCGTCTGATAAAATCGTCCAAGCAAGCAAGGCCAAGGCACAGCAAGGCTGTGGGAAGCTCGGGTCGGCACCAAGCTTGTTTGCCAGCAGGCCAAGTCAAAGGATTGTTGCCGGAAGACACAACCTATAGCTCCAACAAAAAAGGCTCACAGTACCACAGGAAGAAAGCTGTCCGTGACTGTCGATTTTGCTCCGCCCACGCTGGTCAGCTCTCCTTTGGGGACGCAGCCGCCGCCAACACCTGCAGGGCGTGTCTGCAAGTGTTTTTGGTCGGAGCACCCATCTCACTATATTGCAGGCGGTGCTTGTTCTGGTAATTCTGGTACCCCGTTGCCTCTGCGATGTTGGGGACAGCATCAAGCTGTGGCTCGGACGTCTCGTCCTCAGCAGCCTGCATACACCAGCAAAGCTAAGAAGGTGGACAAGGCAAGTCCCTGCACACGAGGGATAGCGATGCAGCCCAAGGGGCAGGAGCGAAGTAGCTTTGAAAGGCGAGCCCTACGAGAATACAGCCCAAGATGATCGCCACGAACGGCAGGCCTGACGGTCAGGGACTGCCGAGAGCTAAAGAGAGGGCCCTTCCTCCAGGATATTCCGGGCCTCTGCTGAAGAACTTCGACATTCGCTTCATCTGTTTATGCAGCTGCCGTTGCACTTTCTTGTACATTGGTGTGTGGACTCGCTGCCCCTTCTCGCGGCTCGCGGGTGCAGGAGTTGTCGTCTCCGCCTTTGCCTGCCGTCCGACAGCTGAACACTGACTTTCTGTCAACAAGACATGCCACTTTGGCCCTTGGCCTGGTTTAGGGAGTTTGGGGGTCATGCCATGCATGCGTTGGACCGTTGGATCTTCGCCGGTGCCTTGGGCTCCGTCTTTGCTTCTGGGCGAGGCTGAGGGTTCTTGAGCTCCTCAGACCAGCGCTCCTCCATGTCGAGCCAGCTGGTGATCTGGTGCTTCGACTTGTCCTTGGCTTTGGTAAGGCGGCTCCACTTGCCTGCTTGTGCCTTCTGGATCGTGGCGGTGGCACGGCCGACCGAAGCTGCCGACCATGTGCTCCGACTTGGCACCACGTCCGCATAAAGCCCCAAGTCAACAAAGTAGCGTTTCCGAATGCTGGAGTGATGCCCGAAGCCAGACAAGGCAAAAGCAGCATCAGTGATGTTGACGCTCACATCTGCGATCTCGATGGCCCCAGGAGCTGACCACCGACTGGCGTACTTCACAGCTAAAAAGACGGTGGTGGAGTTCTGTGCCCACTGCAACGCGCATGGCACATCATCTAAGCCCTGTCGATGCCCGCGGAACGTATCGTCTGCGTACTCGGCAAACTGATCCGCTTGCTGCTTTACATCTTTGACTAATGCCCGAACCTCCGAACTCAGGGAGGCTAGCGTGGATGATCCAGCTTCTGAAGATTTCTGCGCGTGAGTGCGAGACACAATGGCTCTGGCAGCCTTCCACCAGCTGTTGGCAATACACGTCCGCATCCACTGTGGACTGTCTGAAAGTATGGCATGCTCAGTACTGGGGTCCTCCAAGCCCTGCAGCAGAGCACCCTCGCTCGAGAATTCCGTAGACGTGCAGCAAGCATGCACCACAAGGAGAGCGAGGCAAGCGAGGCAAGCGATGCTAGGTGCCATTCGGCGGACCCAACTCTGCAAACTCGCATGCACTGTATGTTCTAGCCATCCTTTAACGCATTTCAGCAACAACATCTTGGATTGATTTCTCGCTGCTCGTTTCGGGGATTCTCAAGTTGTTTCTGTAGAAGCGCAGCTCGAGCCAAAGTGCAGCCAAGACGGAAGCTGAATGCGCGAGGATCTGCGCCGATCATGATCTGCAGTACTGTATGTATGCTACCGGTGACAAAGCCTAAGGCCCATGGCAGCAAATGCCGCTCAGCCACGCAGTCTGGTTCCGGAGGAACTGGGGGAGGCTGTGGAGTTGGACAACCAATTTGCACTCGCTCGCAACAGAAAGCTTTCTGCGTCGACCTGGGCCACTCGTCTACGATGAATGACGATGACCCACAGATGATGCTACGGCCTACCCCAAGCAAAAACTCTCGGTGCATCCTCCGGTCCCAACGACGAGCCATGGCACGACCAAGCGTCTGGAATCCCCACGTGACAATGGAATTGCATCGCCTAAAGTGCTCCAAACGTGCAGAGGAAGTCACTCGGGCTGCGGAGGTGCGATTTGACTTCCCTGCCACCACGCAGCAAATGGCACAACCGGAGGTCCGCCTTGCGCAGCTTGTGCATGCCTGTCGCGACAGCTAGGGGCCAACCGATCCAGATTTCTGAACAGGAGGTCTCGACCAATGACATGTCTGGGCTGAGGCGGCAACGGCGCCAAGAAGCCCTTAGAGGTTCGGGCTGAAACCCGCTCAGACACTTTGGGGCTACACTGCAGTGGCAACGTCATGCTTGGGAATTCGCATTTTGACACCTGCATGCTGCCCAGAATCCTCATGGAAGTCCGGAACTGGCACCATGATCCAAGTAGTCGGCACGGGAGTTGTCGTAAGACCTCGTGATCGAGTGATGCGGGAGGGCCTTGAGAGTTTGATAGTATAGTAGAGAAATAGATAGCAATAGCAACAGCTGGGGCTGCAGCTAGTGCTGGTCTCGCAGCCAACTCCCACATTGTCGCAACACCAAATTCGATGCGGCACAGACCACGTCTGGATCATGCGCGCATTGGGAGGTGGTAGGTTGCCGTCGCTGGTGTAACAACTGTAGCCTGAGATCGATGTTCACGCTCTTCGGTGAGAGGATATGCAAGCTGCGAAGCAGGTGTCTTGCTTGCTAGGACTAGCGACTAGCAACGCCAGGCCTCCTAGCGTCTGCGGCTATAGCTATAGGGCTGAGCAATCCACACCGAACGGCCTTTTTGTCGGTGCACATGTTTCACCATGTTCCCTGCCCGCTTGCTGCTGGACAGGCCCCGCCCCACCACCCGTCCGTGCGCGGCCCCGCCACTGCCACTGGCTCGACGCCTGACCCCGGCACCCCTTGTCTGTGGCACAGTCTGTGGCTTCGATCATCTCGGCCAATGCTATCTCAAGCGAGTAGCGGGGCATTCCTGCGTCCATGGCATGCTGGTAAAACTGTCGCGATGCGGTGATTGCTGCAATCAGCAGCGAGATCAGCAAGCAGACGCAACAAGTCCAGCACAAGCACCTCAGCAGGTTTGGCTTGTAAAACAAGTGTTCCTGTTCCTGAAGCAGCCCCCAGAGCATGTCAGAGCCATGCCTTCGCCACCAGCTACCTTCTTGGACGACATCGTAGTCACCTCTGCCCTCACCCACGAACTTCACATCGTCCACCTTCGCAAAGGCCTTGTATGTACTTGGAGCAGCATCGAAGCAGCAGCAGCTTGCAGGTGATGCTTCGTCAATCCGGCCAAGACGCCCCTCTTCCGTGGCCTACATATTTCAATCGTCCCGGCGATCCGTCCCCGCCCAGAAGGTGGTCCTGCAGAGGAATCAACTGTTTGCTCCTCGCTACGAAGGAAGCTCTGCAGCATCATGGCCGGTGCCTCTGAGCAAAAAGAGCCTTCGGGAACGGGCTCGTACCCGCGTGGCGATATCAATGCCATGTGGGCCTTGTGTGGTCAATGGCTGCACAAAAGTCGGAGCCTGGAGGCCTTCCTTGACAAATCCCACCTACGAAGATTCTGGATTCTGGTGGGTCCATGTGGGGCCGCACTGAGTTCCAGTGCACAGTTTTATCCAAACTAAGTCCAGGGTAATGGCGATGGCAGACAAGGCACTGCCCGCCCGTTCAGGGAGCTGCCTGTGCCCTGCTTGCATCCCTCCGAGCCAGGCAGCGGACGAGCGAACCCGAAATGAAATGGGGCCTTCAAACGACGATTCGCTTCTATGAGCTCCTCCGCTTGCACCAAGTGCATCTCCTTCGTGAGCGGCACATCGAAAACGCCGGCCAAATCATCCAGTAGCACACATGCCCCTTTATCTGCTCACGCAAGAGATAGCCTGCTTCACTCCTATGTGACTGGTGCAGCATGTCCAGCGGCGTATTGCGCTGAGCATGCATGCGGGAAGACTGGCACTCAAGCGATACAGCAGCACAGGCTGCGGATTGTCACGAAGGGCTCCAGCAGGCGTAGCTGCCTGCGGCTATCCTTCCACGACAGCGGCAAGCATTCTTTCGCCCCCTCCGTTTCTCTGAGCCTCAGGCCTGAGCAGGTAGGTTAGAGGGGGAAGGAGAGGGAGCGCGAGAGAACGAGAGGGAAAGAGAAAGAGAGAGAGAGAGAGAGAGAGTTCTCTCGTCCCCATGCCGTGAATCAGCAGGTTCAACAAATCGCAGCAGCTACGCGTACAAGCTGCCGGCACAATGCCCAATTTGCATCTGCAGAATCTACGGGATTGACATCTCATGGAGCATGAGCACCCATGCAAGAACGCAAGGGAGAGTGTGCAAGCTGATGGTCCTCCGACGCGGCGGCGCCAGACACAGCTGCTGGGCTCCTGTGACTACAATAGTCAATTAGAACTCGGGGGATGCAATAGCACAGAGTAAGATCGGTCCAGCTAGGGACTGCAGTGGATGCACTTCTTCCTGTGCGTGTGGTTCGGGCGGCCTCAAGGACGCTTGATAAGCATCAACGTAGTCCACCAATCACAATAGTCCGCACTTGGAACTCTCTGCGGCTGCAGCCGTGGAAATGGCTGCACCCAGACCTTCTCAGGATTGCCCAAGCGCAGGTCAGGCAAGTGATTAATGTCACTGGCGAGCGGCTTCGGCGTTGAAGTCTGCATAAACCAAGGCATCATGTCCTACGAGCTACTGCTGGGACTCACTTCTTCAGCAAGGAAACCTTGCGCTTGAGTCCTGGGTTCCAGTAGTCCACCCGTCGCTCAAACTGATCGAAGAAGGGCAGAACCTGGCATCTGAGAGCCATCTTACGGTGAGCTCCGTACATTGTCTGTGCTCCAGGCCCGTCCAGAGAAGGAGCGACCGGGGATGAAGCCCTGTGGAGCCACATACAAGCCTTAGAGCTCTGACTTCCGACCCATCCGACACCGAAGGAACCTGATGAGCTACGGGCCGTTTCCCGTCTTTGCTGCTTCCACTGGATCCCATACCTACGAGGGTCGTAAGCAAGCTCTTCCAGGCGTATCTGGCATGTAAAACTGCAGATTTCTGAGTGGCGCACCGCCCATACCAGGCAGTTGGGAGCGTGTATCAACAGCGCCAAGCGGTCGCCGCCCCAGCTCATGCCCTGCCCAGCGAAGACAAGCCAAGTCGAACAATTTTGCAATCGGAGCACGAAGCCTCAACGCGATTTGCATGCGCGAATACGCTGATCGGAGGGCCTGTGTACAGCTTGCTTGCAAGTCTGCGTGTCCGAATCTGATAAATGCGCGCCCACCCATGGATGGAAGCACTCGTCGGGCAAACACACCGCCGTGTCCCCGGTTGTCATGGAGGCCACACCTCATTAGTTTGCAACTACAGCTTTTAACAGCCAGTTCGCCTCCATGACTCCATGCCTCAGGCCCAAACCAAGCGACCCAGCCACTGGGTGTTGCTGTGAAGTGGGCCTCTGGAGCCAGACTCCTCAGCCACAACTCAGATCTTAGCCTTACCGGGCCTTCTCTTGATCTGACGTTGAAAGAGACATGCTCGTACAGCCAGGAGGCTCGCAAACGGTGTCAGACTGCCCTGTGGCAGGGTCAACAAGCGCCAGGGAGACCTGGATCTGTGACAGTCTGTCTCTCGCCGAAGAACCAGTTGAAGCTACAACTGTTTTGGATCCTGGCCCGGCCCGTCTGCGGAGCATCGGTGGGAACTAGCCAGCGCCCTTCGGCCGCATCTGGCCACGGAAGCCTAAAAAGGAACTCCCAGAAATCGATGGAAGCATCGGACACTCGACTCTCCAAGGCTTCTGCCACTGGGGCGCTCGAAAGGAGATCCGCCTCGCTTCAGAAAATCCGTCTCTTAGCCTCCGAAAACCTCTTCCGAGCACTTCTAACTTTCGCAAAGCGCTGATCCCAGGTTCGCACCCTTGAATGACGGTTCCGGGTAGAGAGTCCAAGCTCTTGACCTGCGCCTGTCACATGGTCTAGACGTTCTTAGTGTCTCTGTGCAAGTCAGTCACACGCAGAACCCTGCAAGGTCATCTGTTTTGAAGAGTAGGTGCATCTTACAGAATAGAAACTCTTAAAAACGGCTTGGCTGGCGGCCAAGATCACATTAGCTCGGGTGCCTTTGGTCGATGCTCCTTTGGAGCAGGAACCATTACAACCTACGTACTAGGTATCTTTCACGGTGCAGCTTCGCCAGCTGCTTTTCTCTGGCGCCTTCCCTGCAGGCGACTCCTGACGTCACCTCAGCCGAGCATTGGACCATTTTAATTGCCCGAGTCTGTCTGTAGGCAGTTGAGGAAGAGAGCACGCCACCGCACTGCATCCAGGTTGCTGGCTGCGGACTTCGACCGGAACCTGCAGCTGCTGCAAAGAGACCAAAAGAGTCCCCTGCTCTCGCGGCTCACCCGAGGGACCCGGCCTCAGCGCCTGCTCGGCACGGTGGGCCTCCGCGGACGGGTCCGCCTGGCGAGTGGCCTGGAAGGCCACGGCCGCCTCCTCGGGAGGCGCAAAGCCCAGGAGCACCGCATCAGAGGCCTCAGTCGTGAGGTCCTGACACGAAGACAAGTTTGCACTTCTTCTATCCGTGAGATCTGCATTTTTTAGGTGGCGTCCTTGATGCGAGACATCATCTTGAAGAGACCTGCCAGAGCATCTCCTCCACCATCTCCAACCTTGCCTGTATTCACGTCGCGAAGCATCGCTTCGTGCCACATTGGTCCGGGCCTTTGAGCTCCTCGATCTGCTTCTGCAGAGAGTCGATGGCCTGCCAAAAGGGGCGGAGTCGTACTTTGAGCCTTTGTGCCGCAAGCATTTCCTCTTGCCTGCCTCCTGCTTCTCTTTCTCTATGCGCTCTTTATTCTGCAACGCTACCTGCAGCTGCTGGCTCCTCAGTTCCACAGTCCTTCTTTGTGGTGCCTACGGCCTACGTCGCCAACGCCAGCTGTTGCCTCCCTCGATCATGCAGGCAGGAGTCTGGCTTTCAAACTTTTCTTCGTATTCCTCTTGGAGTGCAGCGAGCTTGCTCGCTCCCACGCTGCCTAAGATGACAAACTTGGTCCGGACGAGATCTGCTACTTTCTTCGTCTGCTATACTTGAAACCGACTTTTGGGAAACGCATCGCAGCTTTTGCAGCCAAGCTGGCTGCTTCTTCTGCGTGTCGCTGCCTCCCTCCGTGGCTTCGGGGCCTCCTCCTTGCCAGCACTACGCTGCAATTCCGCATCGCCACGGTTGCTGGACAGGAAGACTGAGCGAGTGCCCTCGTCGGGAGACCTCCTCGGCGATGCTTACGCTTCTTGTCTTTTGCATCGGGGCTTCTCCTTCCTACATGCTCGGGCGGCATCTTTCGGCTGGGTTGAGATCTTCGCATGTTCAAGACGAACCTGCTGCTGATTCTCCTGGGGTTCTTCCATCTGGAGCTCGTGGGCTAAACTGTCGCCTCAGCGGAAATGATTCTCTCCTGTTTTCTGTCCGATGTTGCACAATCGGACACACTGCTCTCAGCGAAGATGGCCAGCTGCAGCGATCCCCTCTTCTCGCAAACTGTCTTGAGAGCCTGCTTGGCGACAGCAAGAAGTGCCCAGGACGTGCTCACATCACGGCCGGCGACTTGCCTTTTGCAAGTGATGTGCTTCCATTACCTCGCGCAGTTCTTCGATTTCCCCATGGAGCTTGATGTTCTCGGACTCGGCTGTTTCAAGGTATCCTGCCAGACGTGGGACATGTGAGGCTCGCTATGCCAGGTGTTCCTCTGCACTAGTCACTAGTTCTTGTCCTATGTGCTGGCGCCTTGGATCTCGTGAGAGGCTGCTCGAAGCTCTTCACAGTACCTGAGCTGCTTCCGATCTTGGGCCGAAGGCATCGCCCTCAGAGTAGACAAACACGCTAGTGGCCAGGCACTCAATAAAGCCAAAGTACTGCTGCAACTGCATGTGCTGCTCCTGATGATGCAGAAGACATCACCAGTAGGACTTGGCAAGTTGCGGCGGACGTGACGACACTCCCGATGGCCCCACCTGTAGTGAAGTCAGGCTTCGCAGGTTCTTGTCCAATTCGCCTTGTTTTGCCTTCATCGCCTGGCAATTTCTGGGTCAAAGCCGGGCACGGTGTCGACTTGCACCCTCGAAAACATCGACCGACTTTCTACAGCCGCATGTTCTCGAACACCTCGTCGTGCTCTCGCTTTATGGCTTCCATGGCTTCAGCTGCTCGGTATCCTGCTGTGTCCTCCTTCCGCAGATGAACAACTTACAACCTGGAGACTCCGGAAATATCCGGAAATGCCCTTGGAAAGTCACGCCTGTCCTTGGCCATTTCTTCCTTGCTCAATCGCACGGTTTTCCTTCCTGTGCGCTGTGCCCAACAGCAGCTGGTCTCTCGTCTACACAATACGAGCCGACTAACAGCACGGAACCACGACTCCTCGGTGCACACGCTCGTCGGTGCTACACAACGACCCCAACGAGCACGGATGATGAGGGCCATGTGCCCACGCAGCCCACGCAAGCTGCAAAGGAAAACCGGGGTAGGCTCTGCTCTGCCTCTCTCTGCCTAGGAGCCCGAATCTTTTGGACAAGCGGCTCCCGGAGTTCTCGGGCTCCTCCCGACCCTTCTCTCGCAATTCGCGAAGCTCGCGCTCCAAAGCCCCTACCTGCACAGGCATGTCACGCATGTCAGGCATGCGCAGCTGAAATGTGCACGGGTGACGGCAGTGGCGACAGTGGCATCCCCGATGTCAGTGCCAGAGCCCCACGCGCCAAGCCTGGTCTTGGGCCTCGCGCAGCTCTGCTGCCTGGCGCTGAGCAGAGCTCTGTGAGGCCGCGAGCTGCTCCTCGAGACCTGAAAACCAACGTCGCTCTCTTTGTACGGTTTCCCAACGCTCCTAGACAAGCCTGCGACGTGATCTTCGAGCTGGCCCAACTCCTCGAGTGCAGAATCGTTGCAGCTGGTGCAGCTCCGCCAGCACAAAACAAGAATACCGGAGACGCCTTCTCTTGCTCTTCGATGCGGCGCAGTGCCTCGGTTGACTTTCCCTCTATCCCTCCGTGGCCCTCATCATTCCATTACGGCCCAAGCCTGCTCTGCCGCCCTGAGGTGGCGCTCCGCCTCCTGTTGGACCTTCATAGCTCAGGCAACAAAGCCCTCTGCAACTGCACCTGATAAAGCTTGTTTGGGCGGTTGCTACATTGCTACATCTCCACGCCTGTTCGATGTCATTGTCCTCAGCGGCGATCATCCCACCACCCCATGTCGCTAGTTTCCATGGCAACGAGTCCCGGTGAGCGCTGCCTCGATTCAATGTCTCTTCGATAGGTGTTGGCGGGCGAAAGGCCGCTCGTTCCGGCTTGCGACGTGACGACTACAATGCCTATGCCAATCCTGTCTATGCTTCAGGTCTGGCTCCAGATGTACTTGGAGGCGCTTATCTTGTCGACATCGTCTACAAGGTGGCTCAACGTCTTCGGCGAGAAAATGCTGCAGCTGCAAGCACCCTGAACTCAACATCAACCAGATGCAGGAGCTGCCAGAACAGCACCTTCTCGGTAGAACGCTTCCGACACAGTCGCTGCGTACTGATGCCTCAAACTAATTCTCCGATTTGGGCACCTCTGCTGGCTCACAGCAAGGTAGAGTCTGCACGGAGTCTTCCACTTCGTTCAAGACATCGGCCCGGATCCGGGCCTCGCAATCTGATTGAGAGCGTTGACTAAATCCAGCAGCTCACCAGTCACCGACGCGCTGCCCTTACTGCCCCCTGCCGGTACTGTGGCTCCAGACCAGCTTGTTCTCATTGCATGCCAGCACAAGTTCAGGCCTCTCTGAGAGCTCTTTAAGACTCCGCACTCGCCGAAAACTCTCTGCCGTGGGGTTTTGGGACGACTCAGGTCGCTGCCCATGGGGTGCCCAGTCAAAGTAAAGGGGCGCTGCCTGGAAACTCTGGGACACGGCATCTGCAAAACGTAAGCGGTGCGGCTGTGCTTTGCGATGCAATGATGAACCGAGACCAGCACCGTGCCGAGGCAACAAAGGCGCGCGACGGGTGCCTGGCAAGCACCAAGCGGGGCTTGCCTGTCAAACCCATCTTAAGAAAGGTCCACACGGCCTCTCCGCGGCAGGACACAAGAAGCTGGGCCACATCTGCCACAAGAAGCGCCTGCAAAGTCTGCCAAGTTCCTAATGCTTGGCAGTCGGCCCAACAACATGTGCATGCCTGCTGACCGCGTACACTGCCCAACAACGCAATGCGTGTGCCGCAAGGCGATGGTGACCTGAGCCCAGTGTCCAGCCGAGATTCAAACAGGAATTGACTCGCGCAACAGTTGAGCTGTGGTCTCCGTTCTTGTTTGAAAGGGGTGCAATAAGGAACCCTTCCGAGGGACTGTTCCACGCATTAAGGCTTTAGCTTCCACGCCCATCAATGTTTACATTGATTCTGCGGTTCCCTTGCATGCTGACTTGTGTCGATGAGCGTGCAAGTTTTGCTTCTGCAGATAGGGGCTCAAGTCTTGAGGAAGCTGTTTGCTTGGTGCAGGATTACACGTGAATACACCATGAAAGAAGCACTCAACCACAACGCAGCTCAGTTGAGATGAAACAGGCAACAGTTCCGTCGATATTTTCCCACGGCAGCATAACATCTGTTTTCCTGCGACAACATCGCCATGCTGAGCAGCGCGTGCTGAACTCGGGGCACATGAGCCAGGAACAAACCTCATGAAAGACAGTGGGAAGGCTCTCATGCGTGGCATTCCAGTCCAAGGAAGCCTTGACAGGTTCTCGAAGCTCCCGCATCTGCACGCCGGTGGGTCTAGCGAATGGCAGTCCACAAGAAAAGACTGAAACACAAGCTTCGAACAAGATGCAGGAGCAACGAGGGATAGAGCGTGCGCTCCTTGATCACATCCAGGGACCAGAGAGAGACCGACGCTAGGTCAAGTCCAGCAACCGACAAATTAGCACACTCTTCAACCAGCGACAGACCTCTTACGAAAGTCACTGTCAAAGCCAAGGGCGTCATCAAACGCACGACTCTTGCTGGACGCACAAGATCGCACAAGACTCGGAGAATTCAAGTCCTGTCGAGTCGGCACTAGGAATGCCAGCGCGGAGCTGCCAGAGATGCATGAGACAAGCAGTGAGTCTGGACCGCAAACCGAAGAAGAGCCCACTCACAATAGAACTCGAGGGCTTGCACTGCTACACAAGGGCATCCTTGCACCAAGCCGCAACAAGCATCGAGTCACCAGGGAGTGCAGCGACCATGGCAGTGGGAAGGCCAAGACGCTCAAAGACAGAACGGGCCAGAACGAAATGCACAGTGTCATAGAATCCGGCAGCATCCCCTTGCGCCAAGGCGCGAGATCCACCACGCAAGGAGGTTGCTACAATGCAATGGGCGTCAAGCGTACTTCTGCCCGGTAGCCCTCCCTTTAAACCCTAAACCCGAAGCTGAACGCAGAACCCTGAACACTAAGCTTTGAACCTCCCTTGTCCGGACCTGAAACTGGCGCCCGTGCTTGCTTTTTTCTCGGAGAGTCTTCAAA